GCCCCCCCCCCCCCCCCCCCATCGACCGTCACACCCACTAGCAGCAAAGCTCGGGCATAGCCCTACTCTGTACATCATGATATTATCATGTTTGTGTATTAGTCTATAGGCTTTATTCACATGCTCGAAGACAACTCTGGACAACACTGACAGAAATCCTTTGCTATCATTGGGCTTTCCGCGTCTATGGACAAAGCAGAGTTTAAAAAAACTCACCGCTTGTGCACGTTGATATGGCTTCTGAGTGAGTGAACAGCGGGCCAGATGGTCAACTTGGACATCCATTGATATACCGGATCCGTGTGACAGGAGGACCGTTACGGCCTCTCCTAAGGCAGGATAGAAGATATCCCTAATGCCGGTAACCACAACCGGCTTGAAGCCGAGTTCTTGGTGGAATTTATGGAGGGAGATGTCGTAGATGCGTGCTGCAGACGGGCTTGTGGCCGCCGCATCGGGGCGGCGATCCAAGATAGAAACTAGGTGCATGCATGAGTTCGGGTTCGCACGACAAAGGGAGGTTCACTCACCCGTATCGTCAGTCTCATCGCCCTCGGCGTGGCTCTCCTCTAGGGGAGGCGTACTGCAGCTCCTATTCTTTCTTCAGCGGTATCACTTCGAGACAGCACACGATCTTGATGGTTCGTACTAGTGGACGGCGGGGATGCCTCGCCGCGAGCGTCTTTGCTGATATGGCAGATCATCGAGAAGATATTTAACACCGTGGGTTGTCGCCGCGAAAGGCTGATAAGATGGTATCGAATGTGATTGAGGTCGTCAGCCAAAGCCGCAAGAACGACTGAGAAAAGGCATTTAACCAAAGATAGCCAGTGGGGTAGATGCAGGTTTCCATGTGATTGATGCTTCAGTGTCAAGACAAGCGAACAGGCCGAAGAGCAAGTACCGAAGTGTAGGTATGCCCGCTCACCACTCTCATCTGCTCGGCAGAACTCGGTTGTGATTCGTCCTTCGAGGCGCCAGCGTGATTCCAATGTTTAATATCGGAGAGCAATGTGGGGATGCCGATAACTGGGATTTTTCTTCGCATTTGGATGGTTGATTGATAAATCGAGGACGTCCTCCGATTTGGTCACCACGTTGCCCAGCACCTGTCCAACCATGAGGATATGATCGACCCCCGATATTTGACATGCGCACTTCATCCATGAGCTAAGTCTGACTCCCAATGTCAACATCTTGGCCTCGACGCACTCCCTGCAGAGTCACGCGGTCTGTCATCTACCCGCTCGCCCACTGCACGAAATATCTTGATCCTGGGCGCATGCTTGACATCGCCGAGTAGATTGGCACAATGGCGAGGTGGATCAACGGGGCAGAAACATGCGCTTTGCACGCCTGCGGGAGACGGAATCCGAAGGAGATGTAGCCGCATTTCCAGGCCGGATGGGCGAAAGATGATGATAGTCAGGGTGTGGGTGCAAAGGGGGATGATCAATGTACCAGCTATAACACTCCTTCGCCAACGTGTCTGTCTACAACACGGGACGATGTTCGGCATCTGGGTACAAGTATCGTCGGGTTAGTTATCTGGCGCCAATGTTTCTGTAGTCAGGATGATCCTTTGGTATGAAAATTTATTGTCGCCCGCAGCGCAGATCAGCAAGTACGAGAAGGTGGATAGTATTTCAGATGCGGACTCCGATCACATTATTTTCCCAAAGGGACTAAGTAACCCTGCAAGTTGTTGTCGCCGACATGTTTCTATATTTGGGTTAGCGCACGGATTCTTCCACACCTTTCGTACTCGGCATCCTCGGAACGGCAATTTAGAAGAGCTCAGGGCCATTATTATTTTTGACAGAAAAGATATCGTCTGTCATCTGGCCGTATCCATGTACACAGACCAAAGGTTCTCTCTGTCAGCATATGAGATTGAGTGGCAAGCGTTGAATTGTTTTGAGAGAAGGACCTCGGGCCGCATCGGTAGCCGCCTCATGTAAGTTAATGAGGCAATCTCAAAATCACGTTTGCACCGCGCAGCATCTCAGAAGATTTCGATTTGATCAAGCTTGCGCCTGATATTCCCGTCGAGTCCTTGAGATGCTGGCGAGAAGCCCGTTCCTGCAACGTTTCACGCGCGTCTTCCGTCCAGAAGCCTCGGGAAGTCATTGTTCGCACATTCTCAGGTTCATCAGCTCCGCTGAAATATTCTTGTTACCAGAGTAGACCACCCCCAGATGACGCATTGTTCTTGGTCCGGACGCCCATTCTGATATCTACCTGGCATCACACCTCGTGGTCGTCTGGACTCACCGATACCCTCCTCTGGAAGGAAACAAATACACAGCCGAAGTTTTGAATTCAACGGCCCCACCCGTTCGGCCTCGGATTTTGTGGTGTATTGGATCAGTTCTTTGAGGGAAGCGCGCCATGAACCGTCCACCATCGGACTGAAGTACCTTTGGCGATTTCCCCCTCTCTATGACGGCCAAGTCGCTACACACAAGGACAATTCCGGGATAATTCATCCCTTTAGTACTACTGTAACGAAGTAACATTGTACTGCTCGCATGTCCATTTCAGTAGACTGTATCAAATGGGAAGTGGGACAAAGCATGCCGTCGGCATTTCATCCACGTGATTGCGCAACGATTCATAACCCAATACACCGGTGAGATTGTATCTTCCGTTCTATGGGAGTAGTCATTAACGGAGTTTCGAATGGTAGACTCCGCTCGTACCTCTTCCGACCAGCTGATGTTTCCGCCCATAACGTGAGCAAGATTGATCATGTAGGTACATACTTTGGTGTTTTGGCCGAGAACGGGGTCCGTCATGACCGCCTCGGCCGCAAGCCAAAACTGTTGCTCTTTCTCGAGGAGCAACATATGGACGCGTTGGCGTGCGGCGGCAACGTCAAGATTTTCGCGGTCCATGAGAACCCGAACAACATTCATCCCGTCGGACTCGAAATCCTTCTCCTTCTCATAGGAATAGTAGTCGTTCGTTAGCCCGCTATGATCTGCCAGATGATCTGCGATTAGATCTCATCCGAGGCGACGGAGGGGCCCTACCAGCAACCATATCCTCGGCGTTACAAAAAAGCGGATGGGTGAGAATGCTATCATCGAAGTCAAAATCGAGTGCCCAGCGAACCCAATCTGCCAGGGATCAACCTGTCAGTCATGAGACGTGATCAAATATGGTGACAACGCACTGAGAAACATATGCTATCGATAGCATACATGTCAATCAGGGCATAGAAACGGAAGATAACTCGTACCACTCCGATGTTTGCACGACGAGCCATGAGATAATCCTCCAGCGTTGTGGTCGGGGGTTCGTAATGCGTGCTGAGATCATGTGATGAGCCCGATTCAATACATTTAGAGGCTGCGACCTACTCAAACCAGGCTTTCGTTAGTTTCACGTTCCAGATGAATTCTTGCCGGGACGACAACATCCGAACAGCTCGCCAGGTGATATTTAGCGATGCTGTGGCCGGATCAGGTGCGGCGGCTGCCGCCGGCTTTTGGAAAGGGTCAGCATCTGAGGTTCAGCTTTGTGTGCGCAGGTGACCCACCTCAAGGCCTTCTATGGCGGTCTTCATGAACGGAATTCTACTGAGATCCTTGTCGTTATCGATGTAATCGTCGGCCAGCAATATGAGGCCGCAGAGGCGACCCGCCCAGATTAACCGATCGGCATCGCCAGTCGGGACACCTGCCAGACGCTTGTAAGCTAAACGACACAGCAGCAACCGAGAAACTTGTGTTTACACCAGACGGCGAGGCCTCCAAGGTCGTGCTTAGCTAGAATCTTCTCCACGGGAATCCCAGATGGGAAGGGCCAGTACTAATAAACAAGAATGAACGGGCAGTGTTCTTATAGATGGTGGCACATACCTCGGCCAGCCAATCATTGATTCCTGTCCGAATCCCTGTAGGACAGGTCAGCTATCAGTTCACAACATTATCGTACATGCTTGAACTCACTTTGCGCCTGAGGATGGGAGGAAGAAGGCAGCATGCGAGGCTGAATAGCCATGGTAAACAATGATATGAGAGGGGGTGATCTAACTTCTGAATTTCATCGGACCATCTATATAGCGTTAGCCCTGTGCAGTCTTGAACGGAGCGAGCCTGGGACAGCTGGGTTTAGCATTCTCAACGTATGAGCTGGGGACATCCGAGAAGTGAATCAGGGAGCTGAGACGGCTCGCTCGAATTCGGAGATACACAGGGAGAACATGAGGCCAGTGGAAAGCTGCGATCTGGACCGCAAGGAAAGCCAACGGTGCTGTTGGAGCCCATGAGGGTGCTGTCAGAGATTCTCAGTTGTGAGAGAGGTGCTCCAGAAAGGCATGCCAACTCCGCGCCGTCAGTCATGATGAGAACCATTCCAAAGGGTGAGCGTGAAAGAGATATAAAAAAGAAGGATGCATGAAAGGGTATTGTGGTGAGCTCTTCCTGAGCTGTGAACGGAGTCTCTTTGTGCCTCGCTCGCCGGCACCGTCCCTGACCTTCGGAGAGGACCATAATTGGGCCGGTCACCGCGCGGTCTCCATTTTGTCCTATTACGTCTTCTTTCCTGGTCCCCGTTTTCTCTCACAGCCTGTGCTAGCGCTCTACACGCCCACGATATGACCACGCTTTCGGAAAAGGAATCGTTTCGCAGATCGAACCAGGAAGCACCGAGATGACGGCAAAACTTCTCTCTCTCTCGGATCTCATTCCAATCCGTTCGAGAAGACTACGCCCCATTCCGGTCTTCACTCTCCCACTCTTGGTTCGAGAGAAATTTAGACTTTTTTTCCTCTATCCCAGATGCCCGTCCACACCAGAGGCACGCCCTAGCCATTCCGATCCATCGACTCTCCATCTTGCATGCCCTATCTCACCTTTATATGTGCATTGTGCCGTAAGATCCTGATCTTCCCTTCCTCACGCCCTCGGGGGGAAAACAACCCTTTCCACGTTGCACACATCCTCGGACGAGATTGTGGGACATTGCATATCATTGCTGTCATTCTCATCGCGCGGATCATTACCGGCTCAAGGGTGCATTGCTCTGAAAACATGGATTCTCTTGGGATATTTGCCGAACGTGATTGAAGGCGCTAGCTAGGGTGGTTGCAGGAGGTGCTAATTGGAGATGACTGATCGGATGGATTGGGAACAGTCCGCAAGATATATCCCGCCTCTATGCATCGCCTACCACATCTCCTCTCTCTCTGTATTCGCCATGTTGTCATCTACCATGCTCATTCTTGCCTTCTTCTTGGGTGGCCTGGTACGTCTCGTTGCAGACTACGAGCGGAGAAACACTGATATGAAGTGCCATTTCAGATATCCCACCAAATATTTCGACACTATGAGCCCACCCTCATGCAAGCATCGGGCACCTTCGTCTTTGGTGAGGCTGCTCTGGCTTTGAGCTTGTGGAGTGGTCTTCTGCGGTCAGGCACCCCGATCAACATGTGGATTTCAACTTCGGCCGTCTATTTTATTTCTCTCACTGCCTCGATCCTGCTATATAGAGGATTTTTGCATCCTCTCGGACACGTACCGGGCCCTTTCGCCGCCTGTCTTTCCAAACTGTGGGCGGTTGCTATCACTCTGGGCGGCCGAAATCACGTCACGATTCTGGAATTGCATGCCAAGTATGGTGACTTCGTTCGCATTGGTATTGTGTATTGTGTTGGCATGCGCGTATCACTCGCTGATTTGCCGTCTTTAGGCCCTAACGAAGTATCTCTCTCGAATGTTGAGGCGATTCAGCAAATATATGGTCCGAGAAGCACGTACCCCGCAATCAACACATTTGTGCCACGCTAACTTGCAGTGAAGGTGATTGGAAACGCAGTGACTGGTGCTAATAGGCCATCCGATGACGTCGTGTATGTCTTCTGATTCTCCTACGTTCCTCTAGGTACAAGGGCGTTCCTCGGCCGGCACACTCCGAATCGTTGATGTCAATCCGCTCTCATGCTGAACATTCACAAAGGCATAAAATTTGGGATCGTGCTTTCACAACACGCGCCCTCAAAGGTACACAACATTGCTTCTTGTCATGTCTGTCCAGTGACCGCCGACAGATTATCACCCACTGCTTTCGAATCGGGTTCGTCAGCTCAGCGATCGGCTTGCGTCCGAATGTCTAAAAGGGACAGTGGATATTGGCAAATGGTTTAACGCGTCAGCAGTTTTCCTCATTAAAGTATGTCCCATGCTCAATGTTCTTGCTTAGCTGTGCGTTCGATGTTATGGGTGACCTTGCTTTTGATAGCGGGTTCGACATCGTCCAGAAGGGTGATATCGATGGATACTCCCGAACGTTGAATGAAGCTGTACGAATTGGTGCCATATTCATTAATCTCCCATGGACAGCGGTCAGTGTCATTCCCACATCCTCCTCAATAAAAACTGATCAGTTACAAAGGAACCGCTTGCATGGGTTGCAGTAAGCTCAGCTTTGAATATCTGAACAGCCTGTAACACCTCCCTCTAGGCCAAACTGCCTTGGCTTCCGGTAGCGTGCAAGAAAGCCAAGCTCGAGCGGTTCGCTCAGCAGCAAGTTCGTAAACGGCAGGCAAAGGTTGCTTATCGAAAAGATCTCTCATACTGGCTGGTATGTGCCAGTTAGTAGATGACTCTGGGTAAAGTGCCAGCTGAAGTGGAATAGATGGGTGAAGATAGCGGGAAGTGCGAGATATCATTATCTGACTTGGTTGGTACGTAAGGCGGTGCCGCAGCCGTCACCTGTGCGACTCAATTCTCTCCAGCCGAAGCGGTTCTGGTTATTGTCGCTGGTGCGCATGCTGGCTACTCTACTCTATGGTTTCTCAATGCCCTCAGGATCTGACTCAACTTCGCTGGTTGCCTTCTTCCTCCTCTACTTCCTCGCCCAACATCCCTCCGTCCTCAATCGCCTTCGTCAAGAGATACAGGATGTGTACATTACACATGGTGAACTGACCATCAATCATTTGAATGAGCTGCCGTATCTTAATGCTTGCATTAATGAGTCGTTGAGGCTATTTCCTCCCGTTCCCAATGGTCATCCTAGGCTCGCACCGAAAGGAGGTGCAACCGTCGGGGGTTACTTAATTCCCGGTAAGTCATTGGACAAAGTGTTTTAGAGATTGTACTCATGCGAATACCAGAGGGCACAACAGTGATTGTCCCTGCCTACACCATCCATCGTGATCCGAGATACTGGACTGAACCCAACGCCTTCCGGCCCGAGCGTTGGTTGCCTGAAGGAGTAATGGAAGGCTGGCATCATGACACTAGAGCATTCGTCCCCTTTTCGTATGGCCCATACAGCTGCATCGGCCGGAACCTCGGCCGGCAAGAGATTCGACTCACTATTGCTGCTGTCATCCAACGTTTCGATTTCCAGCTGGCGGCGGGATTCGATGCACGGGCATTTGAACAGCAGATTACCGGCGAGTTCTTACTGACTCGGCCCATGCTGCCCATGTTGCTTCGCGAACGTACAAAATGTGAGCGCGGATGGCACCAAGACAGCTCGTGCTGACGGGATTACAGCGTGAAGACCTCGAGGAAGTGACCCCTTTGGTGCCGTAAAACCACGAGGATCTATCAGACTCATCTAGTACATATGCAACCATGGGATAGAGGAATACAAGTGAACCTGTGCTATTTTTAGATGGTGGGAGTGGACATTTTGGCGAGAAGCTTGAATGATCGTCGATCCGTGTTATGGGATGGGATGTGTACGCACGTCTGGGCTAAGCAGTGATCAACAACATATTTGGAAGCAGCCAGATCTTCACCAATATCGCTCGTGAAGGTAGTGGTGATGCCGCCGTGACGTATAGCAAGGACAAGTAGAGATGAGCCGCCTTGTGTCCTGCGAAAGGCAAAGTCTCATCGAGGAAAGAGTGTCAGTAGAGGCGCATGTCAAGCTGGCACCGTCTGGGGTGATACCATGGAGGCCAGCCTTGCGGTGGAGAATTCAATGAGAAAACACCAGAGGCAAGCCACAGTTGAAGGATTCTTGCTATTTTAAGCTGAACCCAATGCAATGTATGTGTTGCGGCAACACATACATAGGAACGGTTACACTGATGAAGTAGTTGATGTATGTTACTGGGTTTCGCAAGCCGGCGGGCCATGCAAAAAATTAGTCTGGTCAACAGACGAAGGGCAACGTGGAGATAGAGGACGTGGAGACCGAGGGGAACATGAATTACACGATCTCGGTATATTCTGGAAGAGAAACACTCCTGGAATAGTTAAGTGTCTGATAAATGAACAGACTATCAATTCCGACGGTACTGGCCAACAGCACGCTTTGATAGGAGACGTTGGACTTGTTTCCAGCTTGTGGATGTTTCGCTCCAAGTGAGAATATTGTAAGATCCAGTTGTCAGAGGACAGTCATAACAATTAGCAGATGTTTTGCATGAGAGCGATACCCACAGGCGACTCGGAATAGCGTGTCGTTTGTTATTCCGTGTTCCCGTGCACTTGTAGGAAAACGCGGTCGCGGTGCTTGGGGAACGGAGGCAGAAAATGTAGCGGCAGCTGACTGACTCTTTCACCGTTCTCCTTGGGCCTTTCTCCATCTCTTTACTCTTTTCTTCCATCATCCATCATCGTTCATCTCAACTTTTTATATTCATCTACAAAACAATGTCAGAGAACGTCAACGTTCCAAAGAATCGTTTACCGAATCTTGCGGCCCCAACCCCGCAGAACACACCCTTGACGAACCAAGGCATTGCGCCCCAAGCGGTTTTGTCGCGTCCCGCCGTCCCCACCGTTGAGGAGAACGACGAGGAGGACGAAGACGAGGGAGATGATGACGGCAAGGCTATCCTCGACCCCCGTCTCGCACCCCAACTTATGCAGATGGTTCAAGGTCGCCTGGCTACCCTCGTAGGACAGTCCTCTGGCTATATCGAAAACCTCCCGTACAAGGTCAGGAGACGCGTCGAAGGCCTCAAAGGAATCCAGGTGGAGCATACCGAGCTGCAGGCAAAGTATCACCAGGAGATGCTCGAGCTTGAGAAGAAGGCACGTAATCTTCGATAACCCTTTGTATCTGAGGCGGGACTAGTCGATAGACCGGTTTCAAAGTGTATTTTCTCCCTGAAAGACGATGCCTCCATTTTGATTTAACCTTCGTTCTTCCCCTTGCGACGTAGAAGGTCACGAGAACTGACGTGCTCTCTTTAGTACAACTTGCTGAGTGAACCTCTGTACAAGCGTCGACTCGCCGTGATCCAGGGAGATCTGGAGCCGACTGATAAGGAGGTGGAAGCTGGTGTTGAGTCATCGAAGAAGGAAGAGGACGAAGACGTCTTCGACGAGGAGGAAGCAAAGAAGAAGGAGGAGGGTGATGACATCAAGGGCATCCCTGACTTCTGGCTCACGGCACTGCGCAACCACGTTGGTATTAGCGAGCTTATTACCGACCGAGATGAGGCGGTGAGTCAATTCATCTGAATATCAGTGTGGAATGTGATCCAAAAACGTAGGCGGTTCGCCATTTGACCGAGGTTACCCTTGCTTATCTAGATTCTCCGGCTCCTGGATACAAGCTCTCGTTCCACTTTTCTTCGAATGAATTCTTCACCAACTCTGTTCTCGAGAAGACGTATCATTACAAGGAAGAAGTGAGCTATCTGGGCGATTGGCTATACGACCACGCCGAAGGAACAACCATTGACTGGAAGGAAGACAAAGACCTTACGAAGGCGGTCGAAATCAAAAAGCAGCGAAACAAGAGTGAGTTTATTATGGTCACGTTGGTCATGAGTCTGACAACTCCCACTTTGAAGATACCAACCGCACCCGGCTCATCCGCAAGGTCATCCCAACGGACTCGTTCTTCAACTTCTTCGCTCCGCCTGTGCCTCCCACCGAAGAGCAGATGAATGACGATGATATTGACCCAGAGGAGCTCGAAGACATTGAGGAGCGCCTTGAGCTGGATTACCAGATTGGGGAGGACATCAAAGATCGGGTACGTAAGGACATGGAAATAACCAGTTAGGTTATTGATCAAGTAACAGATTATCCCGCGGGCGATTGATTACTTCACTGGGAAAGCCCTGAAGTATGATGGTCTTGACGAAGATGAAGACGAAGATGGCGAGGACGAGTACGACGAGGAGGAAGGAGATTTCGAGGTGATAATCTTTCAATCACGGGCTGTGCGGCATGTGCTGATCGTGCTCCACTAGGACGAGGATGACGATGACCTGCCCGCCAACCGTCAAGCACCCAAGGATGCTAGTCAAAAGCCAGAAGAGTGCCAACAACAGTAGTTCCCACCTTGTCCTTTCCCTCGACTCTTCTAATACCATTCTTGTCCGTACTTTCCCAACCTCCATTTTGCTCCTAACACTCTTTGGCACACGTCCCTCATTTCATAAATGCTATTCATATTCTCCATGCGGCGTGCACAATAAGGGAACGCGAGCCGTGCTCATACCTGACAGGATTACTGCCTGAATGGATTAGTTGAACCTGGTTCAGACTGCGAGAGCCGATGACATGTATCGCTATGATGCTACAGTAAATGAGACAGTCCGTGTGTACTTGACTTGGTGCCGAAGTGATGCTATTCACATATGTGGCATTATTGTGGCTGATGGCTGAGTCGGATTTTATAGTTTTCCTAGGTTAGCAAATTTCGGTGGTCGCTTGAGGCGAAAGGCCTCCATAGCCTCGGCCATATCGGTTGATTGCAACATAGTCGCATTCCAGGTGACAGTATACTCCAGATTATCTCTCACACTAAATAAACATCTCAGCTATGGATCGTGCGGACGATTGACAACGTACGAATGATCGCGAGCATGGTTCAACAAATGCTTAGTCCCCATAATTGCGATGGGTGACTTGCTTGCAATGACGCGGGCAGTTTCACATGCAGCAACTGAGCGAGAAGTCAGACGAACCCGAGCAGGCCAGAAGTTTATAAGTACTGACCAATGACTTCTTCCCTACTCCCCTGGACGACGCGAGAGACGAATCCTAGCCGCTCTGCCTCTCTGCAATCAAACTCGCGCGCTGTCAAGGCAAGTTCCCGCACAGCGCTGGCATTACCGACGATCTTAGGCAGCCTGGTAGGGCGATCATTGATCAGAAGAGTGGGAGGACGAAGTTCGAATGACTTACCTTGCTAGTGATCCGATGTCGGCCGCCAGACCGACGTCAATTTCCTTGATGCTAAAGCGAGCATCCGTGGCGCAGTACCGAATGTCGCAAGCACAAAGGATGTCGATGCCTAGGCCATAACAGAGTCCATGTACTGCACCGATCACTGGCTGAGTGCACTCTTCGATGGAGCTGATCGCTGCTTGAAATTGCTGGCCGATCTGTTAGCGCGTGGTCTATTGCTGTACGCGTTGGAGAACGCACGCTGATATGTCTTCTCCACTTGATGGCCCGGCGTGGCGCTTCATCCTCCCCCTTGCCGATCGTTTGTATGTCTGGATCAGCGACTGCGTAAATATGAGCCAACAGTCACGACTCTATCACCTGAGCTACGTACGATCCAATCCTGCGGTAAAGTGTTTCAAAGAAGATGCCAACACCACGATACGAACTGTCGGATCGTCTGAGATCGTTTGAAACGTCGCTCCGAGTTCTTCCCAGAATCTTTAGAGGTAAGCAAGGTAAGCGAGATCCGAGATCGTTCATGAATTACGTACGCTGTGTGAAACGCGTTCACCGGGGGCCTGGACGAACCATCAACATCAGAACTGAGCGAGGTGCTGGTAATGACTCACCGACACAGACCGAGGAGGAGCACCCCCTCTGCTGGCGAAGCGGCACGAACAAAGTTTCCTTCATATTGGGACGCGTCCATGTCGTGTTCGCAGCGAGTATGTACAGGGAAAGAAAAGAGCGAAAGGGAGTGCTCAAATGAGTGGTTGTGCAAAGAGGGGTTGCTAGGGGTTGCGGCTTTGGCGTGGCTGTGGGACGCACGTCGCGATACCAAGTCGAGGCAAAGGCACGGTTGATACGGGAATCCGATATTCACGAGGCTGACCAATATGGGAATAACCGATGCGATCACACCCGGCCGCAGAAAAAGGAAAATACTCCTTCACCACCGAGGTTACTACGGACGGGAGTGTTCCGTGTCTTGTAATGTATATGTGTAATGTGAGGCTCACCAAGACTTCAGTTTATGAAAAGAACACGGCCGTATTATTGAGTGAAGGAAAATAAGCCTGATCGAACGGGGGGATACCCGCCAATCTGCTTAACATGCATTTAACTGCAGCAAGATGACCACCTGGCAGGGTTATCACCCCATCAGGGTTAGGGTTAGGGTTAGGGTTAGGGTTAGGGTTAGGGTTAGGGTTAGGGTTAGGGTTAGGGTTAGGGTTAGGGTTAGGGTTAGGGTTAGGGTTAGGGTTAGGGTTAGGGTTAGGGTTAGGGTTAGGG